CTGTCTTGTTTCTTTTGCTCCACTAACCTTTAAATAGACTGTTTCTCTTGGTAGCGAAATCCACCAGATTCCATTTTCAATCAGAGAATATTTTAATTTGTCATTTGCTCGATTCAAGGACCATCTGTTTTGATTCAAGACAGCAAAAACAGAGAGACCTTGCGGTAGAGAAGAGGAAATTTGAAAGGGAGATCGAAAACTCTGTCTTCAGTGAAAGAGAAAAAGTGTCTTCCCTTGCTAGTTAATGAAGATATTCTCGGTCTGCGAAGAAATTTTTGTTTTGTGTTTCATGGTTGATTAATCCTGATTGATCGAAAGCAATGACATTCATTTTGATGATGTATTTCACTGTTTGAGTTGTAGTCTGTGTGATACCAGCATGTTGCTTTTTTTTATGAATGTCTCAATGAAAAGACTTCTGCCTGCATATTTTGACAAAAAAGGGAAAAAATCGATTGTTTCTGTTTTTTCATCAACATACTTCTTGTTTGTTGCGTCTTCATTGTCAGTTGGATTGGCAAGATTGGCTATCTTTATATTGTTCATATCTTTATCAGTTTCCTGAATCGAGTCACCAGGATTGCTTGGGTGTACTAGGAAACTCAATTTTAATAGTTTTTTTTTCACATCAACGAATTACTTTAGGAGGCAGCTCAGTTCAAGGAGGAACAATCTGAAGCTCCTCTCGAGCGAATTCTCCCTTTGGACCATCTTTTACATAATAGAGAACAGGCTCGCCTTCATTCACCGTTGGTCTCTCGATATTGTAGACCTTCAGAGACCAGATTGGATCTGATGTTCTTCTTTTACCACCTTCCATCTCACCAGCGGCAAAGAGATATCTTCACTATTTAAAGGGGAAACATCTTCTGGAAGCCTCGTCACCCATTCGGTTGATCTCTCTGAAGATTTGAAGTTCATCTCGTCACTGTATTAAAAAGTGAAGGAATGAAATTCATAGAGGCTATCATATAAGACTTTTGAACCCCTTTCATGGTCAATAACAACATCTAATCAACTTTAAAACTAAATACAAAACTTGGTAGTTCGTATAGTGTGATCGTCTCGACAACCTGTGCGGAAGTCATCTTCAGAGTCAAGTGAAGAGTAGTTGTCAGTCGATGATGTTATAAAGTCTGGTTTGTTGAACATGATTGGTCTGTTTAGCCGTGATGTGATTGGCTAGAAGACTCGTGTAGAGTTTGTTAACAGTCATTGGTCGGTTTCGATCCGTCTGTTGTTTGTCGGTCTGTTTGTCGGTTTGTTCACGTCGTTAATGAGTCGTTTGTAAGGTGCCGGTAGTTGTTGACATCTGTTGATAGGCGTCTGTTCTAAGTTAGTAAACCAGCTTCCTAGAGTCAGTCGTTGAAAATAGTTTGTACTGTAGGTTAAGCATTTAGCAGAGTCCCAGTCGATTCCGCACAGGTTGTCGAAACGTCAGTCACCAACAACAGTTCTTTTCAGAACTACACTCACCCGGACGATCACACTATACGAACTACTGATACTCCTGGGTTCAAACCATTTACTTTAATACAATTCCTGTAATGTACAAATATATTCTAGTTCTAGCTTGTCTTCGTTAAAATCAAACTTTCACTGTGCAAGAAGCAAATCATAGACAAATTTAGTTTTTCAGTGGCTGAAGTTGCTAAGATAGAGGACAGTCGGTTTAAAGACGTTTACACTGATATATGCAGTTACAGCAGAGGTATTTCCAGCCAAAGCAGCTGAAAGAGGAGAATTTAAACATGAACGTGAGTTGAAAAGTGACTTTTCCTTTTAATTTTCTATGCTTATCAGAGGAGTTTGACACATTAGAGAAAAATCGGTGGAGTAAATAGTCATAAATGGCGACATCAAGATTCAATGCCAATTCGATTCTAGCACATTGCTTCAATGACTTCTGATCTCGCGTGTATCTAGATCTTAACTCGAAGTCGTTCACCTTCGTTTCATTCAATCTAAGCCGAAATCAACAACACGCGCTATAAAATGTCATATCAACCGATACTGACGTAATACACGACATCTGAAGAAGAAAATATTCTATATCCTGGACAATACGTTCAAACCATCTGAAACATCAACGAAGGTCCTCAGCTGCTTGAAAATCCCGCCGACTAGCATGCACGTCGATCAATTTGCA